CTACTCCTGTTTTCTTTGCTAAGAGCCAACTTAAGCCTGAGAGTTTTGCCAATTTCCCAATTAACAATTAATTGTATTTTGTACCAAACTGGTCGTTGGCTTTGGCAATGACTATCGCTCATATATATATATATAAGTTATGTACCAGTCTACAGAGAAGAATATGCTGAACAAGGACTTTTGCCTCCACGTTCCTTTCTTATCAGTTACAGTATTGTATTTCATTTGTTCTTTACTTTGGTTTGTATAATGAACTTTGCAGTCAGTCTCGATTCAGAACTCATTCAATTAACATCATTGTATTTGGTCTTTCTCAAAAATAAATCTTTTTAAAAACGTTTTCGTTGAAGAAAGATATTTGAGTGGCGCAGTCAATCCAGTAGGATAGCCAGACGAAAAAAGGGACATTTTTCGGTTCGTTTCAACGGTTTACTGGCTATAACGAAACCAATCGCGATTGGTCGCGAACGATCCGACGGAATATCGATATCGTTACCGTGATCACCGGAACCAGATTTGGGATAGAACCCTACCCAAATCGAGAAACCAAGACGACAGCAGCCCAGAGGACAGAAGGAACATCTGCTCCAGGACAGGCAACCCAGCAGTGGCCCAGGCATACGGACACATGGGACGGATTGGATTACTACTGTAAATACGAATGTCTTACAGGGGTGAAAACAATCAAAAGCTGTTTGATGATATATTGAGTGACACTGATTCGGACTCACAGTCGGATACGGAACATATCCAACATAGTTTAAGTAAATTGCAATTAAGACCTAGTATACTAAATAGTACAGTCAATATGAACAACAGTCAAGTAAATCAATCAAGCATGTCATTACGCCCAGAGTATCTTAACATGATACCCGAATTTTATGGTCAACAAGAATTATTACCAAGATTCATAGATATTTGCGAAAAGTTAGTGAATAAATTTTATAGATTAGAGGATGAAAATGACTTCCAGAACGAATATCTTATGAGTAGTATTTTAGCGAAAATCAAAGGTAATGCAGCTTTAAATATTAGTAGCAATATTATAAAAAATTGGACAGACTTGAAAACTGCACTTTTAAATACATATCAAGACAAGCGTGGCGTATTTACTCTAAATATAGAATTGTGTGAATTGAAACAGAACAATGAAACCCCCTTTGAATTTTATAACAAAGTTCAGAGTTTACTGAATTTACAAATATCATTTTTAACTACACATTGTGTGAGTGAAGAAGCTCAGATAATATGTAATTTTTGCAAAAGCGTAGCATTAAGAGTATTTCTAAAAGGTTTAAAGGAACCTCTAGGATCGCTCATGAGGACGAAAAATCCTACAGACTTGAATGAAGCTCTGAATATATTAACTAACGACTTTCAGCTTGATCATAAGGTAGATAAACATAAAAATGTTAATCGAAATAATATGCAATTAGTTCGCCATATGAACAACAACTTTGGTAATTATAGGAATCAATACCAAGCGGTACAGCGTCTAGTATTACAAAGACAATTTAGTCCTAATAATGTACGACCAAATAATCCTAATCAGAATAGAACGAATTTTCACAATAATAACGTTTTTAGACCTAATCAGATCAATAATCTGCCAAGGCCTACTCCGATGAGTACATCCACTAGACAGACGTATCAGCAACCAAATTTTCAAGGTAGAAATTTTAACAGACCTGGTGTAAACGCAGAACAGGCTATGTTTAACTTGTGTGTACAAGACCAACCTGTTGTAGAATTTCCAAATGATGACAATTATGAATGCGCTTATTCTCAGAATATTTCTGACAATTTTTTATGGCAAGAAGCCTCGGAACAGAGACAACCACAAATCTCAACGGACCACCCAAGTCAATAGAAATTATGAGTTTAACCGACAAATGTAGTAAACTACCATACATTGTATTTCCGGAGTATAATCTCAAAGTATTGATTGACACTGGAAGTACAAGATCTTTCATACACCCTGAAATTGCGAAAAAATTATTTTCAAGACATATTCAAAAGGACCCATTCCAAATCACTTCAGCACATGGTTCATCTATCGAACAATATAGTATGACAATACCTTGTCCAAAGATTTTTAAGAATCCAAATATTCTCATGAAATTTCATTTATTCAAGTTTCACGAACATTTCCAATCCCCTTTAGGACTCGATAACCTGAAAGAGATATTGAATGCCAACATTGATTTGAGCAATGATCTTTTAGTCACACCCACAACAAGGATACCCATGCAATATCACGAGATTACAAAAAATTCTTCTAATGTTATCACTGTTCCACCTAGAACAGAACAGATAATTAAGGTTAACATAAAAAATTTAAAAAATGGTAATGCTATTATTCCATACAGAAAATTATCATGTTTAGAAATCCCTACAGTGAAAAATCACGAAGCAATTTGCACAGTATTAAATTTATCTGAAGAACAGATTTCTCTTGACATATCTCGACCAATAGATGTAGAAAATTTTGAAAATTACGAAGTTTCAGAAAATTCAGAACCACCGAATATTAACTCTTTGAACTTTCAAAAATATAAATTTGATATTTCCAAAATTAGGACAGAGCATATGAACTCTGAAGAAAAAGACGCAATCACCAAGTTAGTAAGAGGGTATTCAGACATATTTCACATAGATGGTAATTACTTAACTTTTACGAGCAAAATTAAGCATCATATACGTACAAGCGATGAAATACCCATTTACACTAAATCATACAGATATCCTGAAATCCACCGAAAAGAGGTACAAAGACAAATACAATCAATGCTTGGTCAAAAAATTATTAGAGAGAGCCATTCAGCGTGGTGCTCACCTATATGGATTGTTCCAAAAAAATTAGACGCATCGGGAAAGCAAAAATGGAGAATAGTCATTGATTATAGAAAATTGAATGAAAAAACATTGGGAGATCGTTATCCTCTTCCAAACATAACAGATTTGTTAGATAAATTAGGGCGATGCCAATATTTTTCAACATTAGACTTAGCTTCAGGTTTTCACCAAATAGAAATGGCAGAAGATGATATTCAAAAAACTGCATTTAATACAGAAAATGGACACTACGAGTTTACAAGAATGCCATTTGGACTAAAAAACGCGCCAGCGACTTTCCAGCGAGTAATGGATAACATACTGAGAGGTATTCAAAATGAAAAATGCTTAGTATATTTAGATGACATTATAATATTCAGTACTAGTTTACAGGAACATATTTCTCGACTTAGAGAAGTTTTTGAAAGGTTACGTCAGTCAAATTTTAAAATACAGTTAGACAAATCGGAATTTCTTAGAAAAGAAGTATCGTATTTAGGTCATGTTGTAACGGCGGATGGTGTGAAACCAAACTCCGATAAGATAAAGGCAATCACAGAATTTAAAATACCAAAAACTAAGAAGCAAATTAAAGGCTTCCTTGGACTTTTAGGTTATTACCGTAAGTTTATAAAAGATTTTGCGAAAATCACTAAGCCATTGACAATCAGATTGAAAAAAGATGCAATTATTAATCCCGATGACGCAGATTATATTAAATGTTTCGAATTATGCAAGACTTTATTGACAAACGATCCGATACTCCAATATCCGGATTTTTCCAAACCATTCTTGATAACTACAGATGCAAGTAATTATGCAATCGGCGCAATATTATCCCAAGGTAAATTAGGCTCAGATTTACCAATAGCGTACGCCTCACGAACATTAAGTGATTCAGAAACAAAGTATAGCACGACAGAAAAAGAACCTCTAAGTATCGTATATGCAGTAAAATATTTCAGACCTTATATTTTCGGACGTAAGTTTACT